AACAGTTCTCAAAGTAGTACTATTATCAAGCTAGCTAAATATATATAACAATTATTTTCTTTAAGAGGATGATTATAAATAATTTATGTATTGTGTAACCTGTGTTGTAATGTCATAAATAATTTATATGTTTATGATCAAAGTATATAATTGTCATTATCATGCTTTTCTCATGTTCAAAATATGTATTGTTTTGTATTGTGCCGCCAGAATACTATATGTATTGGCGATAAACATTGTATATATGTTAAAGCCAAATAAACATTGAATTGAATTGAATCTCTGTAAAAAAAAAAAGAATAAAATAAATCATAACAGTAAATACAAAGACAATTATATCAGAACATCAAAAAAAAAAAACGTACAAACACAAGATATCTAACCATCAATCAAAACATTTGTATTTACATGTACCTCTAAAATAAATTAAAACATATTTTACTTAAATAATTAAAGTACACTTTAAATAATCTTATATAAGTTATTTTCAATAAAATCCTAATATAAAAATTACCGTTTTAAACAAATAAATAACCAAACAAACTTTTGCGGCGTTTTAAATAAAGCATCGTGAAGTATACAAGTATGAAAGTGTATAGTAGTAACTGTTATGATAATTGAATTTCCGTTGAGATAAAAATATGACGTAACGCGTTGTCTTAAGCCGCGCCAAACGTTGACGATAAATTTGGTAACAGAAATATCAATAAGGAAGAAAACGATAGTATCTGAATAAAATAGACGTAAAAAAAGAGAAGAATGTAAGTATATAACAAAAATATAACTATTACAAGTTCGATCAAATGTTAAATCTTTATGAATTCAAAGTCGAATTTAATACTCCCCTCCATAAAATTATTACTATTTCATGACAGTAAATAATTTCTAAACATACAAATACACTCTTGTTATTATTGTATGAGATACTATAATTTCAATAAATGAGCCGTGTCACGACAAAACCAACATAGTGGGTTTGCGACCAGCATGGATCCAGACCAGCCTGCGCATCCACGCAGTCTGATCAGGATCCATGCTGTTCGCTAGCAGTTTCTTTACTTGTTATAGGGTCTGTAAGCGAACAGCATGTATCCTGATCAGACTGCGCGGATGCGCAGGCTGGTCTGGATCCATGCTGGTCGCAAACCCACTATGTTGGTTTTGTCATGACACAGCTCAAATCAACTAACAAATTCATGTTAGCCAAAGTATGACTTATTGATATAAACTCTTAATGACATGCTTTTCAATCAAAATTCAATTAATTTCCAATTAACAAAACATACATGAAATGAATACGAAAATATATAAATCAAGTTTTTATCTAACTTTTTAAACTTAAAGGAAATTTACTTTTCGCAAAACGTTGACTTATGTAATGCCATATCATTTTCTACGTAAAAATACGTACTTAAAATTAAATTGATACTGTTCTTTTTATCGTTCTGAACTTTCTAGCAAACACAGCTTTGCTACTGGTTTTACTTATTCTGAACCCGTGCTCTAACCACACAGCAGCTACGTACATGTCCTTCTCGGCTTTTTGTAACTTTCATTATTTTTCCCCAAGGCCATGTCCTTTGGGGAAGTTTTTTTCGCTACCGCAGAAGTATTAAAAATTTAAATTTTTTTGCCACTTCTGGCGGGTTTTAAAAGGAAAAATACTCGCGTGTACAAAAGATATCAGCCAAAAACTGAACTTGTATCCACAAACCTTTAGCATATTGATCTTCTTTTTGGAATACACCTGGCGGAACGCTTGAGTTTTCTGTCATCAAAAGTAACATGTTTGTAGTTAAGTTAAGGATGAATAATCTCTGTGGTTGTTGCTAATTTAAGTTATTAGTCTGTCATTCATTATTTTGTCTGCTTCTGTCATCAGTGTAGTCAGCTTCTCGTCAACAATTGTTTAGTAGAAAGTGCCTTCAGTATTGCACGTGCTGAACTAATAAGACGCTCCCAAGCGCCACCATGGTGGCTCACGTATGGTGGATTAAATGACCATTCAATTTTCGGTGGGTCATATAACGACTTATATTCACAAAAATCCATTCTATTATAGATGTACGCATTGCTCCAACTAAATTTGTATCATTGTCACTATAAACATTCTCCGGTTTTCCACGGCTGTAGTCATACTATTAGCAACTTCAAAATGAACAGCTCTTAATGTAAGACATGAAAAAACTCTTTTTACAATACTATGGCTTGGCTTGACGTTCAATGGACCAAAATGACCTATTTCTACAAAAGAAAACGGAGGCTTATCAGGTGTAATTTGCTGTTCCAATAGTGGTGCTAACAGTTGGTAAAAAAGGTGGGCTATTACGCTTTCGACATACTATACTAGACACTGCCTAATGAGCTAGTTCCTCCTAGTATCCAAACGTTTTCTCTCAGAGCTGCAAAACACTTGTTCCACTCCTGTATGTCCATTTAACTTGTGATAATGCGCAAATACAAGCTTAGTAATATGATGTTTATTTAGAAGAATTATTAGACAGTTATCTTTTCTTGCTAGTAACATTCTACCCTCAACACGAATTAACCCGCCTTCTAATAATGGGTTAAGAGACACACTTTTGCTGTCGTTCTTAATTGTTTTTTCCTTTGTTCAACATATTAATTTCCTTTTGAAAATGTGTGGTTTGAACTTGTTGTAATATGTCCCTCGTATCATTCTGTAGTTTTTTAACCTAAATTTTGCCACTGGGTACTTCTAAATTGTGTTTTAAGTACCGATTTTTTACAGAAGTATTGAAATCGTAACATACGGGCAAATGCACGTTGTAATTTATTCCAGCTTGAGTACCTGTTTATTACGTCATCTAATGTAATTCTTGTCTCAAAACTATTTATTGCGATTTCCTTCTTTACTTCAGTGTCATCGTTGGCTATAATAGGAATTTTTACACGAACGGTTAAACAATGGGGTTTTGTTGCGCAATTTAAAATTGAACCCCTTTTTGTATACTTTAATAAGTCATTTGGTCTATTTCCCCGAATACATTCAGCAGGTTTAAAAAAGAGTCCGTGTTGCCACTGGGGTGGTGTTGAGTTTTTATTAATAATCCTCAACCGCTATAAATCCTTTTGTTTTATTGTTTATATATACTACCAATGTAGTAGAGTTAGTCTAGAAAATGGTTTGATCAACCTTTAAATCCAGTTCGCTGTTCAGCATAGCTTTAATACGACTAGCAGCCACCACCCCAAATAGCTTCATAAGCGGAATAGATAATTACTACGTTTTTTGTATCTTAACAGAATTCCTTGAACAAAAACAACTTTGTTTGGCAATATTTTCAAGGTTAGGTAGACGTTCGAGTCATTTCTGCCATTCTTCTCAGTATTTCGCGGGAATCATCTCATCCTGCTTTTTGTACTTTTGAATTACATACATAATTTCTCTATGATAGATTTTGCACCTAGAGTAACTGGTGACATAAAACCAAGCGGATGAAATAGTGAACTTACAATAGGCAGCATGTCACGTCTATTCAATGACTTATCAGCTATCTTCACCTTAAATGAAAATGTGTCGTCTTCTATTTTCCAGATAACACCCAAAGCCCTGTAACAGGGTAAAATATCACCTGGTGAAAGGTTAACTACAGATTGCGCTCTGTCATAATCAGGAATAGTGGCAAGAACGGCTCTGATATTAGTAACTTAGTAAGTCGAAAACAATCTTTACTAATGATCGACTGCAAATCATGAACTTAATTAAATAGCGTCTGTTCCTTGTCTACTTACTTTAATTAAGCAATCATCAACGTAGAAGTTTCGTTCAATTGTTGTCACGACTTCCGGTTCAAAACAAGTGCGCGTGATCCTCAGTAGTCCTTTTCAATGCATAAGCTGAGCAACTTGGAGATGATGTTGCACCAAAAAGGTAAACTTGCATACAATACGTAACTGGAATTCTCGTCATGTCCCCATTTGGCCACCATAGAAATCACAGAGCATCGCAATCACGTTCAATTTCACGCACTTTGTGAAATAACGCTTCAATACTATTTTCTGTATTCGAATTTTACATTTCATTTGTATATGTCAGGTACAGATATATCTATATATATCTTATATAAAAGCGGGAACCTTCAGTTAAAAAGATTGGATTAAGAGGCATATTATGTGTTATGCACGGATACAATTAAAATGATAGGCATGATTATCAGGAACACTTAACATGTCTGGAAATTTTGCAACAAAGGCCTTCCATATAATACACCGTTCTGACATTTTATTAATAATTATTATATGTTTTTGAGAGTCTCTCTAGAATAAACTACAGTATCAATAATCTTATAACCTATACTTAAATTTAAACATGTTTCTTAGATAACCAGGTTTCGGTAAAAAACTGTATCATATTATAAATAATTTCTAAAAAGTCATCTGAAAGTTTTCTAAATAGACTGTTAGTGTTCCATGTTAATAATCAATAAAATGTGTTTCCAACTTTAGAAGCTTTAGTTCATACCTATTAAGAAGGAGAAATACTTAAAATCATTTTAAGGATAAACAAATAGTTGTCATTTTTTCTTTTAAAATTTTTGCCATATAATGAAATAGTTGCAATTCCAGAAATATATTATTTTTGTTTCTGTTATCATATACATTTTTGCTATCATGTTATTGTATACTTTTTAAATTATATATTACTTTATTGTAACTCTGTAAATACTTTAATCTTTGGAGAAAATAAAGTATATATCTATCTCTCCCAAAATATGTCTGTACTGTAGTTGTCTGTTTTTTCTCATAAATGTATAATCTCTTATAACACTATTTGAAGAAGATTATAAAGATCGATATAAAATTATAAGGCCGCTTTTTGGTGTGTTTGTTACGTTTGCTTGTATTAACAACGCACTCTTGATTGTTGAGCTGGTTCTTTTTGATATGCGTTCATTTTATGATCGACCTGGGAAATCTGACTCTTAGAGAAGGCTAACATATATTCTGAAATAAGAACAAAATATTGAACTCCGCCATCCGAAACTTTATTTTCATATCATGTTACTATGTAGCACAAAACACGTTTTATTATTATGTAATACGAAATCCCTAAACGTGTTAATACTTATCAATATAGCACAAATCGTAATGTTACATCAATAGTCTTATTAAATATATAAATTCAATATTCTTTTCAAATATACGAACGTAAATTGTAAGTACAATTTGTACAGTTTATTCTATCATAATTGAAATTAAGATAAAAATGCATCAGCAGAATACTTTTTAAATAAATCATAACTATTCAAATACTAGCATTTTATCTATTTCTATGAATATATATATGAATACACAAAAATAATGAAAAATATGAACAATATGAACAGATTTTTAATTTCTCCTGATAAATTTTTAAGAAGAACTTTAGCTTACCTGAAATAATAATTAAGTACTGAACTCCGCTATCCGAAACTGCTTGTGGGATGCGGGCTCAATTTATACGGTTTTTCGAATCTTAGTGAAATATGAATTGTTTGGGAAAAAAGAAAAACAAAAAGAAAAAAATTAACGTTTGTATCCGGAATATAGTTGACAATAATCGATCAATAGAAGAAGGTATTTGATCTTGATCGAAAATAAAACAATTATTTCTTTTTAAGAAAATGATTAAATACCATTGTATGAATAATTCCATGCAAAAAAGAATAAAAAAAAATAAAGTAAACACACAAGTTTACGCAGAAAATATCTCTATTTATTATGGCAGATGCCACAAACGAATGTTTTAATTTCGTAGATTTTTACTATAAACAATTTATTGTTTGTAAAATTTCAGATAGATATTAAAGAAACATTGATAATTTTCAAACACATCAACAACATTTTTTCACCTTTAACAGTAAAATAATTATAGAAAATTAGAAATATCATGTAATAGTGTTATGTTCTTAATTAGGTGTAATTCGGACTAATTTCCCTAGAGGTAAATCCGTAACATACCGGCAAACGGTATTTAGCTAGGATTTCGAATAGGTGAATAAACCAATCATGTACGGTTTACAAATCACAGGCTCCTCCATGTACCGAAAACAGGTCACGTGCTCCTCCATGCCTCAAGAATTAAACGCGTACCAATACCCTGCGGGCCGGAGAGAATAATAAAAGAGAAGAAAGAAAAATATATTCATCAGGAAATTGGCAATAAATTTTTGATTTTTTTTCTTTATATGTCCTTTTAAATGTATACTTAGTCAAAATGACTATAAAACAATAGGGGATCGCCCTCTCGAAATTTTTGGTACACGTGATTTTATCCCCCCCCCCCAACAGGTGAGTAATTTCGTAACGAAATGCGACGTATGCAGATACGTTTGAGACTTCAAAGTGCGCAATAATGTTAAGCTTATCAGAAGAATTGTCCTAGAGTTATATATATACCAACAAGAACTATGTTCCTTCGCAAATGCTTAATATTTAACATGAGACCTTACGATGAAATAGCACATTTATTTTTAAAATTTTTGTCTTGGATTTAAGCGTTGATTATATGCTTATTCATAACATACGCGATATTTCGTACGAGCACGTCACAATTTCTGATAAAAATATAGTCGATTTGCCGAAAAGAAGCAAGAACTGGAACCCAAGTTAGTAAAGTCTAAATAAAGGTTCATTTCAACATAACGCGTCACTTGTGCACAAAGGAACTGTTAGCAGTGTATAAAACTTGCTAGATATGTAACAACAATTGTCTAGTGAACTAACATTGGCTTGGTCGAAGTGCAATTGTTTTGAATTTATTATTCCCATTCTATTTTGCGATGTTAACGTTTGCAGAACAAATGTTTTGTTCGAAAAACAAACAAATTTTCTTCTTGTTTTATGCATGATCAATAACTGCATTAGGAATTGCAAACAGACGCATGTAAAGAAAATGACGTCAGGGATTCACCGGCAAAGCGTACACTGCGCAAACAAATACAGCTGAGAGTTATCATTGCGGTGTCACTTTTTTATATTTTAAAGCAAAAAATTAATTTGAATCGATAAATATGCCATTAGGAGCAACAAGCAACTTTATATTTTATGTAAGTATAGAAATTTACGGAAATTCAATCCTAAATTAATACATAGGCTACAAAAAGTCTCAATTCTGCAAAGCTATACATTTTGTATTTCCTACCTATACTGTGAGTGTTAATTATTTTTATTTCACCTATTTAAACCAAGAATTGAACTTGTAAGCAAAAACTATTGCGGCAATTTAACAGAGTTTATGCTTAATACCTGTGCGAAATATTGACAAATTAAAATGTACGGTTCATAAATGAAATTTAGTCAATAACATTATTGTGAAGCAAAAGTCATGTTTAAAACATAAGCTCAGTAGGTGTTTGATAACATAGGAAGCACGTTCTGTTCTATAAGTAAATGAACATCTTCAATACATTTTCTCTTGTTTTGCTTATCATTTTAGAAAATCATAATGTTGAAAAAAACGATTAATTGAAGATTCCACATAAACTCTGTGTAAAAAACATTACTTTCAAACCGGCCTTTGCAATTATTCATTATTCACCGTTTAACCAAATTTATGGTAGAATTTATTTTGAACAGGAAAATTTAAAGAAGTTCACTTTAAACATGAAATATAATAAAATGGTAAAAATACACGTCTGTGGATGTTTAACAGAACATTTATAGCGAACCAGACGTCATTCAGCTAGACACTGCACAAAGGAGTGTCGTATTTCAAATTTTTATACAAATTAAGATATTTCAATATATATTGTCAATATTGTCATTTTCTATGTATGTACATGCTACGGACAGTGTCGAGGATCTGTCGATGTTTAATATGTTCTGTTCATTGACCATTTAATGAGTACGCAATTGACATGTCAATAAAACCGGGAAATATTACATTTCACTCAAAGCTTAGCTATTTAATTTCATTTTGACAAATGTCAGATCAGACTACTATTTCTTTCCTCTTGTAGACAGTAGGTAAATCTGAAGAACATCTTTATTCTCTGTTTTATAGTCAAAATAAGCATTTACAAGAGTAAAATGTTTATATTTTGAAAATATCTGACCTTGTAATTAAAAAATATCCGTATTTTAGTAAAAAAACGGACTTCATACAAAGTTCCCGTATATTACGAGCGAACAGATCACGGTATATTAGTCATATACGTACTCGTATTGCATGATATACGGTCCCGCACATTTAGGTATTTCAAATTTCACTTATTTTTACCTGTCTATCTATAATATACGGAATTCCGTACTATTTATTATATCCATATATTTTCTGCAGTAGTCATAATGGCGTATAATGCCGTTTATAGCGGGATTTTGGCATAAGGCGATCTTTTTTAATGACAAACAAACCTAAAAGAACCCGTGATAGCGTGACTTTTATCCTGTGTAAAAAATGTGGAATAAAATTAACGGAATCTAATAAAAAATATGGTCAACATTTTGCATGCAAATTTTAATGACGCAACTGGAAAGTTCGCAAAGATTCGCGTTCTACCTTAACAAATACATGGCAGTACTAGGTGCATTATTTCGCAATCAATGGGAAGATACATATTTAGACGCCATGGGGCTGCCATCATATATGACATCACGGCTGTTATTAAAGCCATGATAAAATCAACAAATAAATGGGGTTATACCACTTAATGAAGTTTAAAACATACGCATCAGATGCCATTCTGTTAGCTTTTTAGAAAATATGAGTAGAACTCTTTTTCTTATTTTTCTATGTGCTACAATTAAACCAGCCAGAGTACATTGTTCAAAAGCTCATTGATTATATATCACTTAGCACTCGAACTACCCTTCTTTCCAAGAAAATAAAGGTTATGTGTTGCTTTCTCTCCAATTGTTAAAAGAAGAAAGTATTTTTGCTACCAATTTAGTTACTGTAAGCTTCATATCCTCATCTTTTTCTATCAAAATCCATGCATGATCTTTTTCAATAAGACAACTGCATGTGTCATTTTTGCACAGAGAACAATGCTCTGATCGGCATGTTTGGTTTTGCAATAGTGTCAATTTATCACTTCCATGAAATATTCTTTCATAGTATTTTTCAATGAATGTCAATTCCATTAAATGTCCCTCATTCGCCAACATTTGGGCTTTTGTAATATATGCAATACATTCTGATGTATTATCTGTAAGCTCACTTAATCTTGCCCTTGCGACGTAATAGAACATTTTACTTCTCATCGTTCCGAGGTCTGCACACGTGTGGTCAATATGACTTAGTAGATATCGTGCTTGTGATAGGCTTTCTTTGTCAATAGGACTGTTTTCGATGACATTTGTCCTGTTTCCTAGTCCTAAGAGACAAAACGCCATCCGTAACACAAACCTTTGCCTCAATGAATTTGCAACATTTACATCTACATTTTCAAGGCATTCAAGCGCAATACTTCCCAACAGCATAATCTGTTTTTGTAGTTCCCTTGAAGGGTATTCTTCGAATTCAAAAACTTGACAACAAACACATAAATACAACAGTTTAACCAGTTCTGGATACGAATCTAAGTTATATGCTCTACATTTTGCTTCAACTAATATGTCCTTGCAATCATTTAAATTGCCAGCAAGTACGTTTGCATAAGCTAAACGACCCAAATAAATAACATCTGATAAAGATGTATTGCTTGTTTCAGTGACAAGTTCTTTCATTTCTTTAAAAATGACGTCTTTAGGATGGCACCCGCCAGGTATCAAAGTCAATTCATCAATTTCTGCCGCTTTAATCAATACACATTTGTCAGCTAATTTTTGTCGTTGTGTTTGGTATCTTTCCATTTGCATTTGATGATTAAGCGAAAGAGACAGCTTTCTAAGTGCCGTTCGCCGATCATAAAACATTGGATTATCTATCATCCATTTTAGTTTGCTATAGTATGCATGAAGCGTACGATTGCTGCTGAGTGTAGATTTTGTGATGTAACTGATGCCTAAAGTACGGTATGTCAGAAATAATTGACGTGCTAATTTTCTATAACCACATTCGTCGAGTACTTGTGCAAAATCTTCTAAATTCATGCAGATAGGTATGTTTCTTATTAAGAAATCAGATTTCTCCTCACTCTTAACATCTGTTGAAAACATTTCCTTAATAATTGAGTATGGGTACTTTGTTAACACACCGTTCCTATACAGGACTGAAGCAACGATAACAGGTTCTATACTACTACGAATTACATGATTGCAAGAAATCAGTGCACTAACTTCACGTTCTGTCATCATGAATCCAGTATTCGATACGGTCCCAAATAAGTGTATGTGACGGGAGGGTCTTTTCTTTGATTCTGAAATGTGTTAATATCTTTAAGTTTTATCAGTAAACACTGTATCGACGAAAGCAGTCATGTGACCAATAGTAGGTAACACTAGCACTGGCTAGCGAATACAACTTGAATCTCACTACAGTTTCCAAGGTTGTAATAACCTTATCATTGTGTTTTCTTGTGATTTATCTAAATGAAAAATCTTAAGATTTACATCAGTATGCATTGTTTTGCTGAAAATAACTAGCTTTACATTGTTCTGAAACAAATTAAGATGTAAAAACTAGAGTTTAATTTTGTATTGATATATACACGTATATTAGAATAATTGCGTGTCAACATGAAAATTGTTTTTGTTCTGAAGTTTGTAAAAGACAAAATGATGAACAAATCTCAAATCTATGGGTAAATTTGTAGTATAAGGAATTTGATAGATTAACAATGCAAGTCAAATTCTTTCAATATAACAGTCACATTATACATGTAACATCATTTTGGCAGAAGTCATTATGAATGTCAATTACAAATACTTTTTTACTGCTACTTTAGCATAAATCAAAACAAAGTATTAAAATTCTTTAAATTTGGAAGAACGGAATCCGATTATCAACATCATCATCTGCTAAACAGGATTACTTGATATGTCAATGACTTTTCCTTCCACCAGGATTGATTATTTATCCAGTTTGGTACATTGTCATTTTATACCTTGCGAATTTTAGTAATTTACAGTATGCTTTTCTACCTGTCAATAGGATATTGCATTTTAAATTTATGGTATTCCGGTGTATATAAATTCCTTAAAACATAACTTGATTGACTATCCATTTCATCTCGAAATGTAGTCTGCTGTGTAATATTGACTTTTTTGTAATAAAACACATTGAAATATTTAAGTATAGAATAGTTAATTTCATTTTTAATGATGGATTTAGAAAAGGAAGCATGTTATCTAATGCAATGTCAACCACACTTGGTAATAATGCCTGCCAATGATTCCAAAACAGATATATGGTAATCTAAGCAGGGACCAATAAGAAATGTCTCCACGTATGTCCCAAATATAGATATAGAGATAGATACGTTATAAGAATAGAAGAATTATGAAAGCAATAACTTTTTTGTATATATAACTCAGTCCTTAATATAAGGCGGCCTAGAATTGTATAAAACACAAGTTAAATGGCATTTTATTAGCCCAAAAATCGATTAAATTTTAAAACTAAGATGAATACAGAAACAAACACCATATAAACTTTATTCATCGAAAGAAAAATAAAAAAACAAAGTTGCAACCATTTCAAAAAGTTATATTTGTATATATTATTACATGATACAGAGTAACCAATGTCCCCCGCCTAAGGGAAGTTTTGAATGAAGCACAAAATTGTGCGATTTCAAAAAATCGAGGTATAAATCCGGACTTTCGGTGCCAAATGTTTATCAATGCTGTATCTGCCCATGCAAGTTTAATTAAATTCATGAACGAAATATTGTGAAATAATATCTGTGTATGTGTAAACAGAAATCAATTGTATACTTGTTACCACTATTTCAATGCCACAAAATGTGACAAATACGTATAAAAACAATAAAGGATATGGTCTGTTACGTCCAGTCATTAATCAAGGTAAAGGACAATTCATCAATGACATTTGACTTGCATGAGCCGACTTGGCACCATACCGTGTAACAGCATATTATAGGCCTTGGCCTCCAAATTGGTCTGACCTTTTAGGTAGGGGGATCTGGGTGTTGTGCATGAAATGTCGTCTTTATATTGCAAACATTTGGCCAACTAATTCAAAATCCCTTGAATGATGAAAAAGTTATATATGGAACACAACATATACTCTAGAAAAGACCATGTTTCACCCTTGTATGACATTGACATTGAAGGTAAAAGTATGGCTTTTACCAATGACACATGGTCCCATTATTGTGAATATTTGTGCCAAGTAATTTCACAATCCCTTGATTTATAAATAAGTATAGACTTGACACAAAATATACCATATAAAAGACCATGCTATGGACCAGGCATCACAAATATCCTCGAAACGATGACGTTAACCTTTCATCAGCAAGTGTGACCTTGACCATGAAGGAAGGCGTCTTGGCGTTACGCATCACATGTCATCTTACTGTGAACATATGTATTTCCGAAATTCCTTAATAGATATGAACTGGAAACAAAATATAAACTATAACAGACTATGTTAATTTTTGACCTCATATTTTGACATTCACCTTAAAGGAAAACAATTAGTTGTTGTGCATTTAACATCTTGTTATTATTTTAAACATTTGTGCAAAGTATTTTATAAATCTTTTGATCTGTAAGGAAGTTTTGGACAGGACACAAAATATACCCAATGATAAAACTATGTTAATCTTTAACATTCATCTGTTACCTTGACCTTGAAGGTAGGCAAATAGTTGTTGTGCATGACTCATTTCCACATTAATAAATACATTTGTGCTAAGAAATTACAACATTTCTTGATCTAAGAAAAAGATATTGAAGAAATAATGGACCAAACACAAAATATACCCTATAACAGACTTGTAAATTTTGATCCCCAACTGTGACCTTGACTTTATACGTAGGCGACATGTTGTTGTGCATGAAAGATTGTCTTTTTATTTTGAACATTTTGCTAAGTATTGCAAACTCCCTTCATGGATAAGAAAGTTTTGGACCGGACACGACATATGTTGTTCTTTTATCACAAAGTGTGTCATTGACCTTGGAGACAAGAGTCTTATTGTTGGTCGTATAAACAAAACATTTGTGCCTAGTTATTTTAAATTCCTTTGATAAATGAATGACATAGTTATGGACCTGACACGAAAGTGTTACGGACGGACTGATGAATGGACGGATGGAGCCTATTTCTATATTCTCCCATTTTCTTTGAAAAGGCGGGGAGCAATTTTAAATATATATAATTCTTAAACAAACTATGCAAGACAAGTGTTTCGCATGAGCTTTTTAACTTTAGACATGTTATTATATATACGTGTCTCCAGGTTGTTGATTATGCTAGTATTGTATTACCTTTTAAAACAATCTTAACTGTAGTAATAAAATACAATACAATTGTCAGAATAATACATGACAAAAAATGTAGTTATAATTGTTTTATCTATTTGTTCCCATATTTATGTAACAAAAGCCATATCTAAATGAAATCCATAAAATGTTCAATAATAAAGACTGGATTTGCAAAAAGTCCTTTTAAAAATAATTTGAAACTTTGGCTTGACAATAAAATATCTAAATCTTAATAACTGTACCACTTTAAACAGTACAACATTAACCCTTATTAACATCCCTTTATTTTCCATTTTCCTTTTTTATTTACTAGTATATAAAGATTGACAAATTGGAATATCTATTTAGGTTTTCACAGTGGACATTTGACAAAGTTCACTTGCATAGTTAGTAGGAATTTATGAATTGTGTAAATAATTAGATGTTAATTGCAGCACATTTTTTACTGCTGTCTGGTATCTGGGCTTATGAGTAATTAATGTGGACAAGATGTGTATTCAAATTCATGCTGAATCATAACTAAGTAGTGTATAGAGCATTAACAGACTATATAGACGGACTTAAACACGTGACTGGCTTGTCGATACAAGGTACAGACTTTAAATATAATTTATACCATCCAAACTTCAGAACAGGAAATCAAAAATGGTTAAAATTGAAAACACATATGCGAAATTCAATGCTAATTAATTCAAAATTGCACCACTGTCATGTTTATATGTTGTTAATTCTAAGAGGTGTGGGCGGTAGCTTTTCCTTTACCTATGGCGTCCATGAGGAAGCTTAATCATCCGATGAAACTTTTTCAGGCCTGGCGGTTATAGAGTTCTTAGCGAAACAGGTTTGATGATTATGATAGGATTTAGGGTCCCTGTTTTCCGATATGAATATAAGACCTTATAAATAGATATACGTATCGAGATCATCAGGACTTGATTATAAATTATAGGGACTAGGGACTGTGTATTTTACGTAGGAAAATATAAAACCTCATAAATACAATTATAACGAATATAGATCATCCGGGCGTGATGATAATGATAGGCTTTTTTGATAGTAACAAGCTCAATGTCGAAAAAATAGAAAAGACTATCAAAAATATTAAATTTTATACTTTTGCCTTTTAATCACGCTGATTTTAATCACTTTTTCATTGAAATTTGAATTTTGCCTTCACGTAAATGTATCATTATTTTGAATTAATTCCAATCTGTACAACGACATTGATTGTTGGATGGATAGACAGACTGAGAGAGGACACGCGGACGGACAGAAAGATAGGATGAAGGCCATTTTGCAACTGTTTTAACTTATTAAAAAAATCTTTCATTTTTATCGAAAATAAACTTCCTTTTTTAATTTTTGCCATTTATGGTTAATCTTCATTTTCATCAAAAGCAGAAATGTTCTCATTTTAGTAGATATATAAAATGATCCCGTATTCATTTTTATTGTATTCCAGCGGCGTTCAATAAGCATTCGCCTGGATTATTTTTACACTTTATCCAGCAGTGATATAATGATAATATCAATCAATTTAATTATAAATAGTTGATTCTTTTAAGAAAAAAACACTTGATATACACACACATCTCTCACTATATTGACATGATTCCGCATTTCTTTCAGATTTTACAATATGTTAGATCAATGTTAACCGAATATAATCTAATAATTATAATAAAATTATATTCAAAGGTAAATGTGTGAGACAATCTGATCAAAATCAGCTCTTAAATTACGCTATGCATTAGGATCTGACTACCACCAATAGGTTGTCACCTTTTCGTGTTTATTCAAACAACCAATCGTCGGTGAACTTTCATAATTTTGAAAGCAATGGGATATCTAATTTTAACCCCTTGAAAACCAATACTCAGTATGTAACTTTCACGATTTCGAGGTCAAATATGGAGTTGTTCATAAAGTCGACAGGTTAACTGGCAGAGCAATCTTGCCCATTTAAATTGAGTCTATTATGTCTTTTTAATTTGAAAAAAAAAACATTTCAAACTTTTTGAATAACAATAAATCAACCATTTGTTTCACTCCAACGGACAGCAGCGATATTTTGATACTTCATCTTATGCGTATCTGTAATCGACGATTTGATTGTATGGCTAAAAATAGATTACTTGGAAAATCAGGATGAAAGCAAAACATATACAGTGGTAATTAGATCGAAATGAAGAAATAAGTAGATCTGAACTTTAGTCAGAATGAAGTGTGTGACACTGTCATTCATGTTAGAATTCTTAAGCAGGTCAATTTTGAAACAACTCTGATTGGAAAAGACTGTTCAATCTGTTGTTTAATGATCTAAGGAATTTATACCTTTAAAGCCATGTGGTGGAAGAAGTTTCAGCTGGGTAGGCTGCTTATCTTCTAATTTCTCTTTGTCAGCAGAATAGTCAAGTTCCTTTTTACTCTGTCCGTTCATATTGCCAGAAGAATGCGTCTGTAAACCTGTAGTAAAACAATTATAAGTGACATTTTCAAAGCAGCATATAAACTAGATCCGGACAATATATTAACACATTGAAAATGTTTAGTATTACATTTAATAAGCTGGTTGATTGGTGATTTATCTAATAATGTGTACATTAGTTTAAATAGTTTTTGCCTTTTGAAGATTATCACATTCATGCGAATATTAATCTACATTTGTACTTAAACTTGTTTAAGATTGTTTCATTTGGATGTATTCTATTTTGAAGCCAGAGGAAATCACAAATAAGTTAATTAATATTACCTGTTTCTTGTACAGTTTTCAGTAACTGATCTTTGTCCACATATGTGCCCACACAAATGTCTTCATCAAACATTGATGACAGTGTCCTAGATATATTCTCCAAGTGACGGCTTTTCTTTTGTCCTCCGAACATTTTCCAAATATTTTTCAACCCTTCAATGTCAGTGACATGAATGGGTAACACTAAATTCTTCAACTTCTTTTTGCTACTTTCTGTTCCAATGTCGTCGCCTTGGGAAAAAATAAGAATAAGCAAATTACTGTTAACAGTAAAGATTTTTTATTTACTACTACTAATAATTATTGATAAACAATGTGCTCGTATCTAAAGTCATTTCAAAAGCAAAATAATAAATTTAATTTTAACGACTATTAGAAACTGAGGTTACAATACAATAGGAGCGTAACTGTACATTTTTCAAATTGGATTTTAATTCAGTTTATTTATTTTTTGAGATTGACACATTAAAAGTGAAAAATTGAAACTGTGATTATTTCAGTTCTTAATATATATTTTTTTTGTATAATGCAATTAAGGTGTAACACAATGTGGTGCCTAATGTTTCTTTGCAAAATGGTAGTACATTTGACTTTCTAGCATATTGCATAAGATATTTATATTTTGAATCGTAACGCTTTTCGCCATGTAGGGGTAATAGCACTCAGCCTATTTATATTTAATAATGTATCTTTGTAGGTTCCTATCAAGAAGAGGTATGATCTGATTTTCAAGTCCCTTTTCCATAACTTCGTTGCAGTAGTGTATTACATAAGTTTAACGTTATACACTTGTTTTATTCTTAAATGTGTAAAAAAATTACATGTATATAACTTATCTGGAAGTGTGCAGCTTAGCTATCGAATTTTACTTTTGATTAACGCCAATGTTTTCACTTATTTCAAATTCTGACAATTTATTCCTCATACACCGAGACTTATAAAGTTTCAATGTGACGAATTTTCTGATATTGAGGTTAATGATTTACCTTTAGTACCACAAAGTTTAACCGATGCTGCCGATTGTCTTTAACAAAAGCTCTGCTTTTTCTTTGAAAACTTTATAACTAACGAATGCCAAAAACAAAAAAAGCCTTTGCATTATCCGTCTTATAACACGTTTTATCTTAATTATTATACAAGTTACCTTAGATAATGATTTAATCAAATGCAAGTGTTGTCAGATTGCATGACGTGATTAATTTATTTATAGTTGTACATTATAAGAATAACTTTAACGATAGTTTGAAACTGCTATTGGATACATAAATTAGCATATTAATTGCTTATAGCACGCTTGTCAAGTAATTCCTGTGTCAATTCATGTTGAATACTTACAATAGGAGGCTAAAACACTTTGAAGACTCGTATGCTCTACTCCCCAAGAAAATGAACAAGGAAAGCCAAGTAATGTACTGACAGTAGTCGATATTCTTGATAGATGTTCCTTACACTGACTGCTTTTTACATATTCCAACACTGTGAAACATCCTGTCACTGAGGAACAGAATATTGGTAAGATGATACTTCCTAAACATGCTTTGCCTATTCCGTCAGATGATTTATCTATGTCAGTAAACCATTCAATCAAGTCATCCATTAATTGAAATGTAATTTCTCCGTACCATTCAACCCTTTGTGATATGATCGTTTTGATCTCATCGCTGTGTAAGGTGTTGTCATCTTGTATTATTTTTACAAAATCAAAGAGTAAATCGGTGGCCTTCTTTTGTTTCTCTTCATTTTCACATTCAGCCTGTAGAATAGTGTTCAGGTCTGCAAATATATTGCAAAATGCAAAAACAGGCCATTTCATAACGAAAGTATGTATACATCTTTTGGGCAGTATACCTTCCGCCTCTTTTTATCCACCTCTTTCACTATACAATTTAACCAATGTTATATAACATTTGCCCAGTTTCCTTACGCGGAAAACTCTTTTAAGCCATAAACAAGAACAAAAGAATGAATGAATGAATGAATGAAGGAACAGTTAAGAAAATAAGAAATCATTGACGTCATGACGGATAACACATTAAGATCAGCAACATTCATGCCAGCATAAGTATTTAAAGGTCAATCATCGGCCTAGATTCACGTTTTAGTAGGTAAAGGTTATCCAACGCCAACGAACGCACATTTGTTCAAGATACCCAAGATAATAGGTCGGTATAGCCTGAATTTATCATTCGTGGTGTCGTATTGCTACATAGATTCTTTTTTGTAAGTAATATATTGTTCAATGTCACTCTTTATCTATTTATATAAACTAATCTTATTATATCAACTTCTAATTTTAAAGGTATTTCAAATATCTAACACAAAGCGTTGTCAAGCATAGTTTTTTTAAAATTAACCTTTCAAAACAAATGAATGTTTGTATTGTAGTTTGTACTGGATAATTAAAATGGATCCATATATTCAAGATGCTGTACATTTCAAGCAGGTATACTGGCCAAAACATTGATACATATATACGTATAGTACTCGTTCCTTATTTTTGTCAATATATTGTTTTTGTTGTTATTCTTTCATCTTTTTACCAAACAATAAAAATATAATAAATTTGTGTACACAGCATTGACAATAGAAGAGTGAAATTTACCTTTCGTAAAATCATATTTTGTTTTCCGTACAGACTGGTTTCGGATTTTGGAAATAGTCTGAGAAATCCTGTCTTGGCATCCTGTCAAAACATATTACACTTTAAATTGACATTATGTCAAAAAAACATTTTTATATATCTTTAATCTATAATATACTCACTATAAATCCATAAACTGGAAACACACGATTTTAGTGAAATGATATTGCAATTTAGTAAATTAAAATTATGACATTCTTTATTCTTATAAATATTGAAAAATATTCAAATATTATGCCCTTCCAATATGTATGAAAATTACTCTCATATGGCTCCCTTCAAGTAATGACCTCTCATGTATAAAGGAAAATTGGCTTCTTTCATTATACAATTCTTCTACGATGAATGAATACTGTTACAGTCTAGACTATACGTGTATTTAAATATAAAACCACTAAGGTTATTGTTTTGAAAGGACGCAAATTAGAGAAGGATTAAATTGTGTAACAGACCAATGTCTCTTATACATCTAAACATTTATCTAAAATACAAGGCCACATGTCAAGATCAAACGTTTCCTAATCAGTATAATACACATGTAATACTTCATTGACATCTTTAAAACATATTTTTATGTCTAAAGAGTATAAGTGTAACAGAAATATAATATTTTATAATTATAGTATTTTAGTGCCAACAGTTAAACACTTATCTTGTTTATCATCTAGTACCTAACTAATAAGACGTCATGTTAATAAGTTTATTTATGTATCTGTGTATCTACATAACTTGTTTGAGCGTTTAAATTCTATAAAAACTTTTTTGAACAATCTGCTGTTTCTTGAAGAAATTGCGACCTTCTTTTCATTCCATCGTTTGGGTCGCTCTGACAGTCTTTTATGACTGTCAGAATAATCGTACAGTTTCACTGTAAACGAGTAAATGTTTTCCAACAGCGATACACTGAAGTGTATTGTATTTCAATGAACAAGCTATTTTTAACTCAGTTGCTGTGCGTAAGAGTATATTAAACTATCTGTACATGTAAATAGCGAGTTTCACAATTATAGTGTGTGGAGTTTAATGAAGAGAATTTGTTGTTTTGAAGGGAGTTGTTGATTTTTTGAAGTTGGTTGAATTTAGTTGTGGTGATCTTAATTGATCAGGGTTTATTTGTTGTAATTTGTTGTTTTGGTTGTTGAGTTATATCTGTTTGGTAAGAACTATTTGGTACGGAAGCCCATAAGTGCCATTTTGTCTTAGGAGTTTTGTCTTATGACTAATGACTTGTGTATTATGACTTTTGTCTTATGTATTATGACTTGACAAAAAAGCGGCAAAAGGGCAAGTTTCATCACCTGCACCCATCATGGACGTTGGAGGTAAATCTGATAGTGAAACAGAAGACAATTTGGTAAGTGTTGCAATTTAAAAAGTATGACAGTACTGTATAACTTGAATAATTATCTCCCATACAAGGTTAGGTTTCGAATATGGGTCATCTCAGATGAAAAAGTAGGTCACAGGGCACAACAATCGTGTTAACTGTTAAAGTTTAAGTATCAAGATATTTGCAAGACTGACACATTTTTAAAACATGTGTGAAACTTTATTCTGTACAAAATATAAATTATTTCTCCTTCAGGTAAATGCGAGTAGTAAACAATGCGAGTAGTAAACGTATTCAGGCACTAGTTCAGAACATAGCAGCCCACTAAGAAGTAGAAGACCCAGAAAACATTGAAAAAGATTAACTTATGGAAATCCATCAATGGTAAACATATTGGACATTCATCTTCTACCTGTGACTCTCTTTATAAAGGAAAATACAAGAAATCGGTTTATGATTTATCAGACAAGTGCCGAATGAGGATATTTTATCAAATTAATTCTTCATAGTTCAACAGTATATGTGAATATACGAAATACTGATAATGAGGGGAAAAAACATATTTATTTTTAATTTTAATGTTTAATATATAATTGTCACATAAGACATAATACAAAAGTCATTATACATAAGACATAATACAAAAGTCATTATACATAAGACATAATACAAAAGTCATTATACATAAGACATAATACATAAGACAAAAAAATGGAAATAAAACCTGACAATTTAAACATCAAATTTCTTGATAAATATGTATGCCTTGGTGTATTTTCATAATATTACAATTTCACATATAATTTACAGGTTGGACGACTTCATGAAATTCGTAGGAAATTTTGACAAGTGACAGCATTGACAGAGAGAAAGAGATGCAAGAATAAATTTGTAATGCCAAATGAAGATATATCAAATCAAATCTTCAAAGATACTTTAAATATATAGGTGTGTTTAATCGCAGTACTATTTATATTTTAAAAAGACCACCAAAAAAAACGAGAGATTGAAGGACGAGTGCTCCAAAATCAGCAGCTCATAATAGCTTTCCTGGGCTTTAAAAAAAGTGTATTACTATTTTGTATTGATGACAAAGAAAGATAATTACAGATCTATGTTAAAACAGAATAAGTTGAATTTTTGTTTTATTATCATCGCGAAAACAGCCATATTGTATACATTGTATAACATTTTTGTAATACCACTGTGACGTCAATGCTGTTTAAGATTTTTGGACAATGGCTGAATTTACCATTGGCTGGATTTACCATTTCCATAACGGACAAATTGTTACAATTGCAATAAAAAGATAAGATAATAACATCAATTTTGTTTCTTTTGATATTGAATTTATTGCATGTCTTGATTTTATAAAGGATATAATTAATTGCTCACACAGACGCATATTTTTATTTTTTATTTTATCATAATTCTTTCAACAAAAAAACTCAATATTAAAATACACTCGTAATACCTACTTTACAGTTGTACAAGAATAAAGTAAAAGTACACATAAACAACTTCGTCAAGAAGTTCTAGTAGTCTCATGTTCCTTGTACATCTATCGCAGTGCGGAGGTTAGTCTTTAGTAAGATTGCTAACTCTTGAATTGCATTAAGTCCTACATTAAGCCGTACATTTCGCAACAAGCGTCAACATCATGTTGATCTACAATCTTTGCAAAATTGCGTCCACCAACTTATTCCGACAGAAAATAAATTAAATCGCGTTTACCATTTGGTATCTCAGGTTTTTTTGTTTATGTATGGTTTGTAGGTTTCAATTCACCGCTATTCTGTTAATCTCGGCCTGGACCAAGTGAATGAAACATAATTTCAATCATTCACATCACTATACTCGTGTCAGACTGTCTTTTTCATCTCTGAAAAAAAATATCCAAAATTGAATTCAATGACGTCGTGTTGGTCCCCTCCAGATCTCTATTCATTGAAACGTTGTTTTTTCCCCCGGAAATGCAACTTCCATAGGATTCGACATATTATTTGTATCATTGTACCGGAAAAACGGTTGGAGTAAAGGTCGAATGTGTTGAGATTTCCGTTCCTTTAACATAACGAAGTATTTGTGTAGCAATGCTAAGCGTCTCTAGTGCTTCAAGATAATACATGGCGATGACTGCAAAGGTTGTTGTTACTTTGTGACACTTCAAGTCTCAGTATCCTAATAGCACTATGTATACAAAAGTCATATGGTTTCAGTTTATTGTGACCGTCTTCGTGTTATACATTACTTGAACCCTTTATAATTGCGTCTTTTCATTATGTGGGCTTTCCAGTAATAATTCAATCAGGATCAATAGTTTTCTTAAAAGATTGAACTCTGAACCTATGTTCATTTATCACTGAACGATAGCCAATGCATTGATCGCTTGTCACAATTCCATTGGAAATATAATTAAAGAACAAAATTATAATATGGTGTGTATCCAGTTTGACGTCATACGTCGATACATATGGTTACTCTTTTAAGCTGTCGAAGCGATATTTTAATGTTATTTATAACGAACAACAGAAGAACAATTTCAGGATATGTAACCCAATAGTACAGTAAAGTATTGTTTCACGAATACAATTTGTGTACTTCAAGCAGCGCTGTCAATGTTTCAGGTATGTTAGAAGGTGTCACTTCTAAAGCAAGCTCAACATGTTGTATCCCAGACAAAGCCACGTGCTATAAAACGCCAACATATTCTTTAAAGATATCTGAAAAACAAAGTACATAGCTATTAAACTATTATATATAATTAATAAGATGACAGACAAAAACAATATTCATATAATATGCAATGTATTAAAATGCTGTATAATGTACCAGTATATACATGTCGGCGCACGAAACAAAATTGACGGACGGTAAGTATTCATCTATTTTTTAAATATCCCAACTGAGTGGTTATTTTCAGTCAAAATTCCTGTGAAATGAAGCTTGCACAGGGCCAGAAATTTGTTAGTATGCTCCTTTGGATGTTGACTATGAATCAATAACATTGATTTCTCGAATACAGTTGGGATATGTTAAAAATAGATGAATGCTTACCGTCCATCAATTGTGTTTCGTGCGTCGACATGTATATACTGGTACAGCTGTCGACGATTGAACTGCTGTCTGCCCATTCGATTGTACGGTGTGAAAATCGGCTACTTTTTTGTATGATGGTAGAATATAGAGCTATCTTGTTGCTACGAAGAAGCCAATTAGGTTGTATCTTAATTAAAATGTAACTAAACCGAAGTATTTAATTAGGACTAGAATAGAAATATTCAGCTAAGAAATTAGGATTTTTGTTTTGTTTTGTTGTAGTTTAGGGCAATTGCACAGTTTTAAGTCATATAACTAGTGTCCCTGGATTCTGTACCAGTACTAATATCTTCAAGCTATGCGGGCAGGATATAAGTAATAAAATGTCTGTTTAAAGAACAAGAGCACCAAAAAACGGCCCTGAACACTTAAAATTACTTAATGCTTTAAAAAGAGTTAAAGCGGCATAACTCTATAAAGGCATCAATGGAATCAAAGTTCCAAGTTGCTATGCATACAATTATGTCATAAAGTTTTGGAAAAAATGAAACAGATGCGAGGAGGAGTTACGTTTACAAAGTTTACAAAATCAGACGTCTGGTTAAAACAGTCTTTTTCAAGCCTGTACAGTAGTTGTCATTTCATAAACAATATAATTATGAAAAACTGTTCACAATTCAACACTTACCAAAGAAGTTTTCTTTTCTCACTTTTTTACCCCTTCTGTTTTACCCCGCCTATTTGCCGCCTTTTTAAGTTTATATCTGACATAAGTCATAAGGCATAAGACAGAAGTCATAATACATAAGTCATCAGTCATAAGACAAAACTCCTAAGACAAAACGGCACTAATGGGCTTCCGTAATTTGGTTAATGTTGGTTGAATGTTAGGAGTGAGTTTGGCTTGTCAAGATTATATTAGTTGATGCTTTGTTTTTGAGGTTATCTGTAAATATTGGGTGCTTTAGTTTAAGTTGTTTTTTCTGATGCTGATTAGATTTTGTGGAGGTAATATTGTTGGTTGAAAGTTTGTGGTTTATACTGTATCTTAGAGTTGTAAAAATATTAATTTTGTGTTCTTCATTTTGTGGCGATTTTATTGTTTTGTTTGATCACAAGTTGTTAAGATCTTGGGCTCGCCAGGCGTCAAGTATTGTTTCGTATAAAGGACAGATAATTCACATAAGGGAAACAATACATTTTTATTTGTTTAGTTTATATAGTACACTTCTATTTGAGTCTATGTGCAAAATTTCATTAACGAATAAAGATTGGATTGGCCTTTTCCCCTTCATTTTTAAACTTGTGACTTTTTTCTTTAAAAATGGCATACAAAGTCAATACTGACATATTTTAACAGAAATTAGATATGAAATAACATGTAATATGTATTGTAATCATCGATAGAAATAAAAACACATTCTATATAAACAATATTTTATAGAAATACGTTTAAGTTATCTGCCCTTGAAATGACCTCAAATGAGTAAAAAATCTCATTCAAGGGTAGGTAACTCAGACGTGAGTACGGTGATCTCCAAATGTGTTTTACAAAAAAATTATATTATCATATCCTAACAGCATACCAAGTTTAAAGAAATTCTTTCGAATCTATCGTTTTAATCTATGTCTGTATGAAAACTCCCGAAAACATCCTGGTTAAATTGTTCTTTTCAGATATAATATTATATTGAGTACAGCATTGTATGTAATGGTTACAATCTTAAAGTGGGATATATGTGTAAAATATCCTTCTCAATAAGTTAAAATTAAACAAAGAATTTAATAAATGCTCTTGAGACAATTTTGATGATTTCTAAACACAATGTTTGAGTTAATATTATCCAGACAGAAATAGAACTAGAGTCGCCAAATATCAATAACTAAGTCTCCAGCTAACATGTAATATGTTCTGTTCCATTGTTTCTGTCGTAACCTGCCTAATAATGAAGTAAAAAGTTGTATCAGTCAGGCGATCACGATTTTTCCTAATATTTTATATAATATTGTTAATTTCTGTTAGCATTCTGTTTTACATAATTAGGTTGAAAGCTTGAGAAAGTATTGTTTTATTGTAAGATGTTTTTAATCGAATTAACTTACCTTTGATATTTTTCACCTCACTTTTTAAAGGCCCTATTTGTTGTTTAAACCTTTCTTCTATGTAAAGTTTAAAACTAGAACTGAATGCGTGAGTTTCTTTGACATATCGAAATACGGATTCAATGTCAAGATTGCCGGTTGCCGTTCGTGTGATAATGTCGTCAATTTGACGAGATTGGTTGACATATCCTGCAATTGTTCGCAAATGTCCTTTCAAATGTCCCTGACTTGATAAAAATTCTGTCTCGTCCATTGACATCTTACTAGGATGTCCTTGGATACAATCTCTAAAGACCTTTAATGCCGCTATCTGTGATGCAATAACAGGTGGTAGTGCTGGGTAGAATAATCTCTTCACGACAAGCAGAAGGAGCGACAAATCCCATGTGGTTAAATCTGCATTTGCTGTCAAAGGCGCTGGGTAAAGAATGTCTCGCTGTTCTTTCAATATGCCATTGAATAATGTTCTGTTATTGAGAAGCAGGTTCTCTAAAGTTTTTCCAGATCTACTCACTTCTTGCACTACAAGGCTCTTTAACACAAACGAAGTTCCCTTGCCAAGCAGCAGTAGATTTCTCAAATATCTCTCTTCATCTAAAGTTGCCATTCTACAAAGTTAAAAAGAAGTGAAATAATATAGTCTTATGGTGGTATATTTCTGCCAATAGTTAACCATTAAATGATCGTGTTAACTACCTGACTTACTGGTTAATACGATAAATAACAGATATACCGACATATTAACGAATAAGTATGTAACAAAAACACTAAATAATTCGCAGATGTACTAACACTTACCAGTTAAATAATAGATCATTATCCGTTTATCTATAGAACTTTTGTGTTTGTCAAAAGTAAGAAAATATCAGATAAATATCTGTAAATATAAGAAACGCAAGGAATATGTACGAAACATCCGCATTATCTATAAACTGAAGATTTATCTAGTAACACAGATATTTATCTGAAATTTTTCTTACTTTTTACACTTTGACAACCAAAAATATAAAACACTCAAAAGTTTGAGGACACGAACTTTTCTTAAACAATTTTTAGATGAGAAAATCTATAATTAGTTGCCCTTGGGCCAGACAAACCATAGATAAAAGCTACATGCTATATATTTACACTTTCTTACGCATTCGAATTTCAGTCAAGGCCACTTTTAAAATACAACGCTGTAATGATCTTGATTTGAGAAAACTTGTCAGATTCATACAAAACGGCTCTACACACAACAAAGAACTAAGATCTAAAACGTGACACTATACACCCAATGTTAAGCCTTTCGTTAATAGAGAAAAATATTCAATTTTAATGTCATAATTTTAACAAGCGTTATATAGGTCAATATCTATTTTCCAAGCTCTATGCATTGTACTTTGAAAGTATTTTAGTTCAAGCTTTTTAGTTCTGAGACTATGTAAATCAGTGCTCTCCAAGGCTACAATGTTCAGGAGTTGAAAAAAGAGAGTTCAACAACACAATGCCTATTTTAGTTATAGGTCTTGTGGTTAAAGAGAAAAGCAATTTTAAGGTTTTTATATTTTAGCGTAAATAAAATCATGTGACTCCGGGGCGTTTCTAATACTGGCAAATGGGTAATGAAAATTCAATGCCACACAGTTGATAAATTAGCTCTAAGTCATGTTCTTTGAGCACAGGGAATGTGGAAAGTTTTTTTCTGTAAAAGACTTTGCGAAGTATTGAAACAAAGATCAGCAGGTTTCAAATAATTTTTCATTCGATGTCTTATCCCATTATTAGTTTGTTAACAAAATCAACTAAAACCGTAATCTACAAATTAATATGTGTTCAATATAGAAACTTTCATGCTTAAACCTTAATTTCCACAGGTAAGAAGATAGAACAGTCTGAACATATGTGCAGTATAACTAGACTATATCTAAATTGATAGCTGATTAACTTGAAATTTGCATCATAAAATCATTTCTAATATTCTAAAGTAATATGGCTGACACCAGATATGGAATTTAACATGTTGAGATATTAACACGGCTCTGTTCACGTTCATGATTTAGGAATTTCATTGATATTCTTGATGGCTTTGCTAAGTAAAGTTGATTTCCTATTTCGTGACAAAGCGTCTCAATGGCGTCTTCGATGCCATAAAACAATAATCCGCCATCAACACAATACCTTATAACAGTAATATTCAAATGTTTTATTTGTTTTTATAAGGGATTGAAATGAGCTGCAAATCATATGTCAAAATTATCTTTTTTATTTGTATCTTGACGTTAACACGGAGGACAAGATCAACCATAACCTGCTAAGTTTTTATCTATATTTTAATGCAGTTTTGATTGCATTGTGGAGGTACAATTAAAGGCAAACTAAACGGATCCCAGACAAAATACTCAGAACTTTCTTAGAATTCATGTTTATTAATCTCTGTGTAACCATCAAGTGGCCGTAGTTTGTATACCTCTTATCTACTACAGAGTGTGGAAAACTCCCCCAGTAAAGCAAATCTCAGAATATTTATAAACTTTGTACACCATTCATAGTATTTCGTTTTCGAAAACTCTCATGGAATACAAATATATAAAATATCGATTTTAAAGACAGTCGATCTTTGAAGGGAAATATAAAGTAAATAAGTTGTTAATCGGAATGTTTACATCTGTATAGCGATTTAAGTCCGTAAATCAATATCATTCTCTAATGATTCTACATATATTTTTATTCTTTAAGATCCTTGTAAAAAAATACATAGATCGAAGACAGAAGATCAAGTAAAACATTTTTTTATAAAGAAACATAACATACCTCTCAATAACTCTGTGTCTGATACGTGAATAATCTACACCGTAAATAAAATGGCGCATACGCACAAATACCACAGTTTAATATGGAAAGCCATGGCTGTCTGATATTGTTCTTTTTCAATTTATGTAACCATTTGGATAATATATGATTTCACTTCGACTATATATGAATTGAAAACACCTTCTTATTTAACCGGAATCCATTATATTAATCCACAGTTACAATATATGAAACCATACTGTCAGTGTATGAAACCGAGTTAGCAATATATAAGTTGATTTTCTCAATATATGATTCCAATGTTTCAATATATTGTACCAAAGTAGCCATGTATGGAATTAGATATCCTTATATGAAACCGAATTATCAATATTTTAATTCATTTTTACAATATATGAAACCAATTATATATATATTTATATATTATCCAAATTGTTAAATAAATTGAAAAAGAACAATATCAGACAGCCATGGCTTTCCATAGTTTAAAATGCTCGACATGCCTCGGCTATATTTTACAATAAATCAGGACGTAAACAGATTGACAATAACTCTACAACGTCGTTTTATATGTACACCCTGTATAGTATGTATCGTTACACCCTCTGTTTTTGTATATATATATATATGATATATATGATAAGCTAATAAATAAATTAAAGTATATTTCGGTAAAATTATGACTGATAATATTTCTGACATTCATACTCGAAATATAAACATGATAAATACTCACTGATGTACTAAACCGAATTAATGTCAACTGGTAGACATTATGAACCGTCGGTTTCGATAACCATAATAATAAGTATATAAATATGGTACTGATTACTTTGATACCTATAAATTTACTAAATTCGTTTCCTTTCTAATTATTTGCACATGCAACCAAACGTAAAATTTCGGTCGGTATATAAGTGAATAAAATGGATCAATAATGGTTCAGATGCCTATTAGACATTGTTATTTATTTTTATTTTAAGAATACTTACTGTTATTCGATAGATGTAGATTGAACGCTTTTGTTTATTTTAATACTTACATTACATGGGTCACAAATGTAAGTTATTAGTTTAAAGAGTTACCCGACCAAATTTCTACGAGTTTCTACATACGGTTCGGTACCTGATATAGCAGATAATATATCACAATGACAACTTTTAAACTTATTAGAAGATAACAGTTTGTATCTCGAAATAATTTAATTCAGTCACTGTTAAGGCAATGTGTCAATATCTTATTGATTTTTACCAAACATCTTATATTGATATATGTATAAATGATTTTGTTTTATTTCGAAACTCAAGTATGTATTTATGTATTGGCGTCGTTAATTAAAATCATCACAATTATGTACAACGTTTATTTTTTAGAGAATATTGTTGTTTTGAAGGGAGTTGTGTTGATTTGTTGAAATTGGTTGAATTTAATTGTGATGATTTTAATTGACCAGGGTTTATTGGTTGTAATTAGTTGTTTTGGTTGTTGTATTATATTTGGTTGTTGAGTAATATATGTATGGTAATATATATTTTTTATTAGTTGAGTTGCATTGAGTGATTTTGTCTTGTCAGAATTATCATAGTTGATGCTTTTTTTAAGACCTCTGCAAATACTGGGTGTTTTAGTTTAAGTTGTTTTCCGATGCTGATTATATTTTGTGAAGTTACATTTTGGTTGAATGTTTGGGTCTATACTGTATCTTGATGTTATGAAATATTTCATTTTATGTGTTTTATGTTTTGGCGATTTTATTGTCTGGTTTAAGCATAAATTGTTTAGAGAGCTTGGGCTCGCCAATGTTTAGCATCGGTTCCTATACATGACGTGTACGTGAAACTATATTTTGTATGTGCGGTTAATGATGCGGTTAATGATGGTGTGTCTCTTTGAATGAAAATAATGATCAGAGTTCTTTGTTTTGGGTGTACATAATGATCAAAGTTTGTTGTTACAGTATTAATGTGTTTATGGATTTGAGATAGAAAAATAAAAATACCTAAAAATAGTTTTAACTTAACTAAACAATAACATGCAAGTTATCTAACTGAGAATATTTCAATCAGGTGGTGCTGTCCAGCCTCCATATCTTGAAAATTGGTTATAATTTTATTTCTAGATCTTTTCTAAGATTAAAAAACATCAAAGCAAACATTTTCTGGACAGTATTTTGTGAAATTGGTTGGTGACAAATAGTGCAGTCGGCTGGGGTAGCAGAGTTGAGCTAGAGGTCGAGAATCCGTGACTTAGATTGTACATATCTCGAAATAAAGTCATGTAAAATTACAAACGATCTCGGTTATTCTCCACAGTACGACAATATGAAATTAATACTTTAGAAAACTAGTGATCCGTGTATTCGTTATTGTATGAATAAAATGGTTTGGATTTACAAACTTGTGCATTTGTGTCCTTTGATATTTGATATTCTATACAGAGATCAGGTGATACAAAAATGGAAAAATACATTTAAGTACACGATATAAATTTGAATATCCGTATATAGTATTTTGACAAATTTACACTTGCGTGGAAAAAAGACAACCGTTACAGTGACTTAGTTTAAAATAACAAGGGTTGTTTCGCCTCATAAATTTCTCATGTACTATTTGTTCTTTAGTTTAATGACATTACTTGTTATTTAGAGATATTTTGAGGCCATGCTTTTGTTATACTATTTATTATTATTGTGGCTTTCTGATTGAGGTGTAAATTGGTTTTTCGTGTTCAATGGGTTGCAGGTCTTCTGGGCCTGGCAGTAGAAAATCAATATCTGCTATTTTTCTAATAAGGCAAACATTGCCCCTGTTTTTACTTTACAAATAATTCGCCCGGCTAATGTGAAGAATACCTGTTTCACAATACACGTACGGTCTGCATTAAGTGTAAAACGGTTCGACCAATTAAATGTGTTTATCAACAACTGTTGTTCTCCATACAATTCCTCACTATGAAAATACATCATTTTTGCAAAAGGGTATGTCTGTATCTTACCAAGGTGAAAGTCCCTTAGTCTAGAGCAGACGCAATGCTTGGACAAATACGAGTTAATTATCATGAATAATAACCATAACCAACGTTTCATAAATATGCAGTATCAAATAAGAGCAGGAGAAAACACTTTTAAGCTTTACAGCTTTCTGCCCAATCCAAAATGTACTTTGTAAATATTGTTCACATGTAAAATGTTTTTTTAAACAAAATAAGAGCAAATTAGTAGCGCAGTATATAATTAGAAAGCCGTCGACAAACAAAAAACAATTTTAAATGGGAAAGTAATATACTACAAAAGGAACGGTTTTGCACTTAACATTTGTTGCACATTTATACGTGCTAAAACATAAAAAAGATACATTTCGCGCGTTCTTTTTACATTTTGTAATATTTTAGTATCCTATATATTCACTTTTATTTGAATTATCAAAAATTGTGCAGCATGTGCGTAAATGTGTATCTTCCTTAAATGATGTTTACTACTATTGCACTTGGTATAAACGTCTTGTATTGCATTCCATATAATCACGTTAAAATAATAAAAAAAAAACAATAGAAAGTGGCATGGGCAAAAGTGTCTTAAATTGATCTACCTAATTTATAATAAGCTTTTTGTTTCAGTGTTAGTTTGTATTCATGAATTATACGTGTAAACATCATTTATATGATGTATTGCTTTCACTTTCCAGTATGGTTCATGAACAGGCTTAATCAAACCGAGCCTGCAAGTTTCTTCTATTTGCTTTTGGCGTTTTGGACGTTTTTCTCTCTCTCTATTTAATGTATTTTATATTGATAATTCGAATTTTTAGCTCAACTATTATGTAGTGTTTTTATATTCATTCATCTGTTATAATTGAAATATTTAAATATCTAAATTCAAATATAAATTATATTTATTATCTGACAATTATCAAATTTGCAATCATATTGAAATACGTCATATTAAAACTTTTCATTTTAATTTTAAGGGAGATAATCATGAAGTTGAATTGCAAACAGCTATTATTGATCTTCACAAATAGCATGCATGTAATTGAAACCCGCATGTATCTTTTTTATTCTCTTGAGTAATATCTAGTATAGGTTCAGAATTCATCTTGTCATGTATTGGTTCTTTCACCACATCGACTCAATATATTTCTCATTTAAATAGCATGTGTGTGACTTCATTATTCTTTTCAGATAAAAACATGTCCAAATAAAATTTCAGTAAAAATAACTTACATGTTTTAAATACATGTTTAAAAACATATATCGTATTTTCATCATAAGTAACCTGCTCATAGCTACTTGTATGAAATAACATGAAAAGGTGTCTCTGACAGCGATGATAGTGTTGACAGCGATACATTATAACAATGTATCGTTCTTTTATTTTAAGCAGACGTGCATTATTGTTTTAATTGACTGCAGAGTTATTGTCGTAATCATTACGTGAACGTAAAACAATTTTGAAAACGTATTTCATGCCAAAGTAATTCTTGCATATCAAACATATTATTTTACTGTTTAAACCAGTGTTTTGAATACTCTGCTCACATTCCCGCATAAGACATGTTGCGTTCTATTAGTGGCATCATTTTCACGAGTCTATGAGAGAACTGCGTGCTTACAATGACATAAATATTACGTTATGAATAAAGTTGTTACTTCATACGCTATTTTATAAAAATTCAGTGCTAGATGAAAATATTAGTTTTGTAATTTCAAATGAAATATTTTTTGGACATGTAATATGCAAGCAAAAAAATGATCAATCATTGACTGCCGTTACTCCTTATCGCCGTTACATTCGGGCAAGTAATTCAGAACATACATTCATCGTAGAGATTTGTTTTAATGAGGTTTCTGGGTCAAAAATTTGTCATTTTTAGCTATCAATACATGTTTTTGTTATTTGTAAAATGTATTAAATTTACTGCATGTGTAGCTGTTTATCTCGTTGATGTATTCTAGTTATATGTATATCTTAAGACTAATTGTATTTCGTTTTCCTTATATAGGTTTAGTTACGACATTTTAAGAATGTTGTATCCATAACATAACCACTTTGCATCAGTATGAATACGAATTGTTAAGTTTTAATAT